ATGGGTTCTGGCGGTGACCTTCCCCTATTCTGTCTCCGTTTTCTGGTCGAGCAAGAGCGTTGACTTTTTGGTCGATCTCTAGGTTAAACTGGCCCAATGTGATTTATGAGCGAAGAAGGGACGAGATTTTTCAAATAAAGATTGAGACTTGGGTGTCATTAGGGAATGGGGAGAGTAGTCGAGTGGGCGGCTAAATCTAATATGGAAGTGGGTTGGGTCCATTAGGTCTGGACTAAACCAAGTCCATAGGTCCAACCATGAACCAGAACAAACCATTATTAACAATCTTCGGTCTGGATCAAACTGTGTGGTACAGTATGTTCCATTATTTTTCTAACGGTCTGATCTATTTTTCCAACTCTAGTTGATATCATAATTATGTAATGTTAACGAGAGAAAATATGGAGCATAAATATGTGATAAGTGTCATACTTTGATTGGTTAGAGGATTTAGTTATTTTTTTTCTTTTTTATTCTATCAAATAATCTCAACCTCATAAGTTATACAAAAATACTGCAGAGTGTGAACATTCCATTGACAAGAGGGTTGTTATTCTTTGCCTGTATCACTCCATGTACCCTCAATTACTATTAGAGATAGTAAATAAAAAATCTTTTATTTTATTTTCTCCCAATATGTTTCAGTTCCTGATTCTAGGGAACGTGTGTAGCTTTCTGTTGCTACAATCTCTTATTGTATTTGTACATATCTGTAGTTGTTACACATTAATACAATCAAGTCAGTTTTTCCATGATTAGAAGATCCGTAACCTACTTACATGGTATGAGAGCAAGAAACGTTCACCTTGCCGATCCAAATCTAAACATCTTCTGTTCATCTTTTCTTTCCTCTATTTTTCGATTCCCTGTTCTTTTATTTGTTCTTAGCCATGTCTTGTTCAACCACGTCCGATAACTCAACAACCTCAAATGAGTCCATCATCACCTTTTATCCAGCACCGCAGCTGCCTCTGAAATTAACTCCCACAAACTTTAACTCATGGCGTTCGCAACTGGAGACTCTTCTTATGGGCATGTATCTCATCGGCCTCATCGATGGTAATGGCGTTTCTCTGGCACAAACGATCACAACCAACAACGTCAGCAACCCCAATCTTGCATATCGCCATTGGTTTTGGCAAGATAAGCTCATCCTTCATGCTCTCCGTTGCTCCATCTCTCAATCACTATATTCCTTTGTTTATGTTCCTGGAAGGCTAGGCTTGGTCATCCTTCTCATCAGTCTATTACCAGTCTAATTCGGTCATATTCTCTTCCATTTTCATCTTCCGTAGCTAGTTTTTCTTGTGATGCTTGTCTCTCAAATAAAAGCCACAAAATTGCCCTTTTTTGTTTCATCCAGCATTAGACCTTTTGATCTTTTGTACACGGATGTTTGGGGTCCTGCCCCTGTTTCCTCCATTGATGGTTATCGCTATTATTTTGTAATTATTGATAATTTCCCCCCGATACACTTGGTATTATCCTTTACGTAATAAATATGATGTTCTTCAAGTTTTTTTTTTACTTTAGGATAATGGTTGAAAATTATTTTTCTACTACTATTCGTCGTCTGTACACGGATGGTGGTGGAGAATTTCAAAATTTGTGTTTGGATCTTCTTAAAAATGGCATAACTCATCTTTAAACTCCACCTCATACCCCTGAAGAAAATGGGCTTGCTGAAAGAAAGCATTGTCATCTTGTTGAAACTGGCATCACTCTTCTGCATTATGCTAAACTTCTTTTTGGTCCTTTGCATTTTCCACTTCGTGGTAGATTTCATACAATCTCATGTTCAATTTGCCTCCCAATTATAGTAAACTCTGTGTTTTTGGTTGTCTTTGTTATCCTTGGCTATGTCCATATTCCTCTCACAAACTAGAACCTCGTTCTTGTCCATGTATCTTTCTTGGTGATATTGTCCTCAACATAGTGCTTATCGTTATTTCGACCCCACCACCCAGCGTCTCTTTCTTTAAAGACATGTTATTTTTGCTAAGGATCAATTTCTAGGTTACTCTTCATCTTCTCCTGTCGAGCCTCCATTACAAGCCTCTTGGATCTGGGATTTTGCTCCCACAATATCTATCGTACCGGGCCGTTAACATCTCCGTCATCATCAGCTGGGCTTCCACCGGCCCAATCCCCCGCCACGACTGCACTCCCCCTGCCGGATCCCTCGCCATCTAGGCCCACGTCCCCCTCTACTCCACCGTATGGGCCTCCCACCTCCCCTGGCCCACCACCGCCCGTCCTCCGCATGGACACTATGACCACCTAGGCGCAACATGGTATTTTCCATCTTAAGAAATGATTATTTGACACTCACATTGCAGCTGGGCCCCCTCCTCTTTGCCCTCTTACAGTGTAGGAAGCTCTTTCTTAGCTGGAATGGTCAGCGACTCTCTCTGCGGAAAATGGTACTCTTTTGGCCAATTCTTCTTGGGATTTGGTTCCCTGTCTTCCTCACTACAATGTTCTTGGAAATCGGTGGGTTTCTCGTGTCGAGCATCATTGTGACGGCTCTATCGAGCATTATAAAATCCGGCTGGTGGCCAAGGGGTTTCATCAGTGTCCAGGACTCGATTTCACTGATACCTTCAACCCAGTGGTTAAACCGGTCTCTGTTCGCATTGTGTTCACTCTTTCTCTCTCTCTCTCTCAAGGCTGGTCTATTTCTCAGTTTGATGTGAATAATGTCTTCCTCCAGGGCCCTTATTTTTGCAGGACGAAGTCTATATGGAACAACCTCCGGGTTTTGTTGATTCCTCCAAGCCGAATCATGTGTGTCGTCTTCGCTGTGCTATCTATGGTCTTCGCCAGGCTTTGCGTGCTTGGTACACTACTTTGAGCACTTTTCTTCTTGATTTCGGCTTCACCAAGATTCATTCCTATGCCTCCCTATTTGTTTGTTCTTGAGGATTCTTGAGGGCACACTCTTCTCTATTTTTTGGTGTATGCCGATGATCTACTCCTCACAGGGAACGACAAGACCACTCACCATTCCTTTCAGTAAGCTCTCTCCAATCATTTTCCCTCAAGGCCCTAGGCGATGTCAAATATTTCTTGGGTATCGAGATAATTCCCACTGCTTCTGGCTACATTCTCTCTCAGCATATGTACATGGTTGATGTTTTACATCGCTTTCTCATGAGTGATGCCAAGGCTGTTGACACTCCCATGGTTGCCTCCACTTCTCTTACTCTCACCGACGGCAGCTCGCCGACTGGCACTACTTGCTATCGCCAGGCCCTTGGAGCCCTTCAGTATTTGGTCTAAACTCGTCCGGACATTGCCTTTTCTGTTAATAAGCTCTCTCAGTATATGTACGCGCCCTACACTTATCATTGGCAGTGCATCAAGAGGCTTCTTTGTTATGTCTCTACTACCCGGACCTTTGGTCTCTCCATTCGTCTTTCCATCGGTTCTCTCTCTCTCTCTCTCTCTCACAGGCGTTACTGTTTCCTACTGGGCTGGGAATATGACCAATCGCTCTTCTACTTCTGATTGTCTCTCATCTACCTTGGCTCTACTCTCATTTCTTGGCGTTCTAAAAACAATGCATAGTGGCTCGTTCCAGTACCGAGGCCAAATATCGTGTCATAGCCCATGCTAGTGCCGAGTTGGAATGGGTACATAATTTACTACTTGAGCTTCACCAGCCCCTGCACTCTTCCCCGGCTCTGTATTCTGACAAACTTGGTGCTACCTACTTCAACTCTAACCCCGTTTTCCATTCTCTCATGAGGCATCTTGCCTTGGACTATCACTTTGTTCATCAATTAGTATAGGTTGGTCGTTTCAGTGTGTCCTACATCCCCACGGCACATCAATTAGCCTATTCTCTCACCAAACCTCTGCCTTCCACTCGTTACCTTCTTCTTCGATCCAAGATCGGAGTCATTGATACCTCCTTCGTGCTGCAGGGGCGTATTAGAGATAGTAAATAAAAAAATTATTTTATTTTCCCCCACTATGTTTCAGTTCCTGGTTCTATGGAACGTGTGTAGCTTTCTCTTGCTACAATCTCTCATTATATTTGTATATATTTGTAGCTGTTACACTTACACATTAATACAATCAAGTTAGTTTTTCCAAAATTACAAGATTATTCGTAACCTGCTTACAATTACCTCTCATAGTCTCCGCTGTATCGGACTAGAGTAGCAGTCAAGATGTGCACAATGTGCCCCTAGGTTCTTCCAGAACGAATCATAGTAGGGATCAAACCTCACCTGGTCAACTCATGAGCGCTATGCGCGACTGCTCAGGCAGTTTCCCTTCTTGTACTCGAACTGACGGACCAGAGACGTCTAGTGGCATCGTATAGCTATGATATGTCAACATATCAGGCATACCACTATAAATGGTACGCTTAATCAATTGGGGTGACTAGCCATAAGGTTTCTAGACCACCTGCATGACCTTCAATTACCATTACTTTATTATTGTACGGGAATTTAGCCTAGTTACCACACTAGATTACTAGAGCCAAACGACCCCTTAAACTCCATATTCCTTGCTCAAACGCTCAAAACCATCAAATCTATCGTGACCAACATCAATTCATGGAGTTTCAACTCACTATAAAAACGTTAAAACAGGTATTTATGCGTATTTATTGTCCTTCTTTTTCTAATTTATTGATGCTCGAAATTTGATGAATTTGGTTGAAGCAAACTTTGGGTGAATGATTTATTGATTGAATACTTGATAGTTACAGATGGTTTCTACTCTACTTATACAAGAAGAAAGACAATAAACAATAACAAGGACCATGCTGGAACATAGGTGCTGTCAGGAGTAGCTGTCTGATGCAGGTGAATAAATGGTGATAGTATGGTGGATGATGAATGTTGTAGCTATCAACATTGATGATTTCCTTCAAAATTAGTACAACATCTCAAGATAGAGAAAGAAATACTCTTCCAACTATAGATCACGACGAAGTACGAACTCGATCAATCAACTTTCATCCAATACAGTGTTGTCTCCCCCTAATTATCAACCCTCATGAAGCTAACCACAAAAGGCCGGTCTTCGGTGAGAGCAAGCCTCCTGACCCCATTCTCGTCGACAAAAACCCCAACGTCCTTACACCTCACCTTGCAAGACTTGCACACTCCCGGACAATGCACCAACTTGTAATTACTCCCGCCGCCGACTCCATACTTCACGATCCTAAACCAGTCCTCCACCTTCCCTTCCACCCCGCCGGTCCCCACGAACCACCGCTCCACGCCATCGTCGTCGTACTCCTCCACCTTCCACACGCCGCCTTCCTCACACCCCGTCGCCGCGAACTCGATGTTGAGGTCCCTGGAGGTGCGGAGGATGTAGCCGAGCTTTGCCGCCGCGGGGAGGAACGAGAGCCGGGAGCCGTTGGAGTCCGCGTGGCGGTCCTGGATCACGGAGAGTGGGCACGTGGAGGCGGCTGATTGGCTGGCGGTTCCTACACCGCCGGCGCGCGTGGTGGTGTTGTTGGCGGCGGCCGGGATGATGTAGTAGCTGCCCCCGGCTTTGACGGGTTTTCCTTCTGTGTCCAGGATCGGGATGGGCAGGACGGCGGCCGGGGAGTGCTGGACGTCGTCGGCCGGGAGAGGTTGGGCGGTGGGGGAGACGGCGGAGAGAGATGAGGGGAAGTTGTGGAGTAGTAGTGATAATAGCACTACTAGTAATGCTGGACTAGGCGCCGTGGCCATGTTTTTTTTCTCTCTCTCCTTGTGGATGTTTAGGTTTTTGGAATGTATTCAAGAATGTGATTAGAGGGAAGGAACAATTATGTATTTATAGAGTGTTGGTGAGTGGATTAATTCAGTAGGAAATATGTATCGAATATGGAGTAGTTGTTAATAAACTCATATTGTTTGAAAGGTGGAAATTTTCACTAAATTGTGCACATATTAATAATTAGTTTATAAAGACTTTAAAATAACATGCATTAGGTTGAGATAGAACAACCCAATTCTGGTAAATAAATCAATAAAAGATACAACTACCCAAAAGTAAAGTATAATGACGCAGGAAAAAATATGATAGAAGTAATACCTATATCTGGTCTCATACTTCTGAGAAGCAAATAATACATACTCATATAAGAATGCTACCATAAAATCACACGAATTAGCAAGAAATGGTCATCCCAAAATTAATACTACTCGTTGGCTAATTAATGTTGTATGAATAATTAAATAAGTCAAATTTGCATGACTCCGCAGCTCTGAATTGATGCTAGTCCATTTTGGCAGTCTGTTATTTGGTTGAGAGATCCATGCAACATGATATTATAAAGCGTATGGGTGCAAATTCCAAAACAAAGAGTTATAATTAAGTCCAAGTATTCTGAGCGGCAGCAAGTTGATTTGGGAATTGATCAGAGTTTACTTCAATTCCAGAAGATGTTAAAGGGGTCCAAGTTGAGCACATGAAGTCTTTATCTCGGCCTTTAAAAAAACGAAAAAAGAAAGTCTTTGTCGGGGGTGAAAGCATTTTGATTGTTGAATTAATTATTAGTCGGATGAGAGAAGACTTGCTAGCTAGCTAAGACCAAATGGTGTGCTGGCAAAAAGTAGGATCCGATGATAAATCGTGAAAGTTGGTGGTTAATTGTTACAGGCTTGTTGATTAATGGTTGATAAAGTCTGCATTCTAACCTAAAAGATAATATGGTATTGAACTGAATATATTAATTATTTGCTAAAATACAATGACTAACAATTTACAAGTGTAATAAATGAAAGGAACTGCAATTAGGGCTGCAAATGAGCTGAGTAGAGCCAAGGTCCCAGTTGAGCTCGATATCGGCTCGTTAATAAACGAGTTGAGCTCGAGTTCGGTTCGTTTAATAACTAGCCGCGATGAGTTCGAGCTGCCTTGCTTATGAAAATCTTTACTTGTATTTGATACATTCATTTTGTATGTCATATATGGTACATGTGATTAATGTCAAGATAAAAAAAAATAATTAAGTGCTCAATATTAACTAATCTAATGTTATACTTTGTGCTATCATATTATATAGTTAATAAATTTTAACTAGTCAAATTATGTTATTTTATAGGGTGAGATATATAATTTAACAATTATGTGAATTATCAAAATCAAACTCATTTATATCAATTTGCTCATAAGTTGATAATTGAATTGGCTCTCTAGCCACAATGTTGAGAGTTGAGACATCTCATGAGCTCTAAACGAGCAAGCTCACGAGTTGAGCTCAACAAGCCACCTAGTCGAGCTAGCTCGCGAGCTGCAGAAGGCTTAGCTCAAGCTCGACTCATTAGTAAACAGTCGCGTTTTGAATGAGTTTTTCCCTAATCGAACGTTAAGTCACTCACGAACAGCTCGACTCATTTATAGCTCCAACTTCAGTATACGGGTCCCTAGAGTACTATTACTCAGCTTTAGTTTATTATCTAGCAAATAAGATTATGGGTTGATTAACTAAACTACTCTACAAACTAAACTAGGCTAGACTACTAATTACAAGTTGGGAACTCACTTAGGTATGATACCTCCTAGCCCCTCAATTAGATCTAACTTGTAATCGCCTTAAGTTGTTTTACTGATGATTATACTATGGAGGATCCCATAATAGCTTGTAAATCTCTTAAGACAACCAAGCCCTCTTCGACAAAGTACATAGCCGGCGACTAATCAATTCAGTACTTTCAATCGAAGAAGCTCTCTTAACCCAATCAGATTCTAACTCTCCTAGGTTAAAGTAGAAATCAAGAGAATATGATCAAGACTCAATATACTCAATAATCATGCCCCAATATAATAAAACCAATCAATATAACATCGAAAGGTTCATACAATAAAGATCCTAACCCATGGAACTAGGGTTCTTCAAAACCTAAGTGAAAATGAGGTTTACTCTCTCTCTCTCTCTCTCTCTCTCTCTCTCTATATATATATATATATATATATATATATATATATATATATATACTCTGGGATGTCAATCTTCACTCTTGAAGTCTTGAATCAAACTCCAATGGTGGAAAGGATCGATCTAGATCTCAAAAAGATCACTCTTCATCACAAACTCTCTCTAAACCTCTGTTTTTGCTTCCCAAAGTAGAATGCCCCTTCAGAAACCCAAATTTCAGTCTTGTACTAGTATCAATAAGATTACACGGGCAGACACAAGATCATGTAATTCGAAAACACGTCGTTTCATTAAACGTTGATAGGAAATAGAATATGGTCATTGCACAACCGTGTGAACATCAGCTCATGTTGTGTAAAATCCTTGGGAAACCCACACAACCTGGGTGCCTCGTTACGATCTGTACATTTCTGGCCGCGTTTCCCATGTTGCACGGTCTATTCTCACGACTATGTAAACTACGGGTTGAAGCCGTGTAAACCTCCGGTGCTTTGGTCCCAAGTTTCGAACTTCGTAAAATCATCCCCAAACTCTCTCTTAGGCTCACGTGCACGATCCTAGACCTGAAATGGCATAAACTAGCACAACCTAACATAAAATAGGTTACAGGAGTGACGAAGCAAGCTTAAACGACCAAGAGACAGAGAAAATAACGTGTGCAAATAAAATTCAGTGCTACCGAATTCCTCACACTTAACAGTTTGTTTGTCACCAAGCAAACCAAGCCAGATACATGGCGGTTGTCAAGGTCGATGTTGTTGTTGTTGTTGTTGTTCATTCGTTGATGTCTAGTAGCCAGTACGATTCACGTGTTTTGTGCATGGTGACATTCGAGTGCAGCAAAATCGGATTAGGAAAATCCTCCACTCTCTTCATCAACCAAGATAGACTCTACTCAACCACTCATTCAAAACCGTCACCAATGCATATAAATCAAGTCATCAGAATAGAGACCGAGCCATCTAGATCCTCACCGGTTTATAAAAAATGGAAAAATGAATCACTCACACTCGACAAGTGGGGTCAGGAAAATTTCGATGCAAAAGATTTGCATACTCGTACTCACAATCCCTTTCGTCTCTTCACCGTGATGGCATCCTTTAAATGCTAGTGCTCACATATAGGGTGCCACCATTAACTGGTGAGGAGGACTTGACCAGGTTCAAATACAACTGGCTAGGACATTTTATATTACACAAATCAAAATAAAAATGTGAGGGTATTAGATTTAAGAGTGGTATGGTTGGAACAAAAATGTAAAATGAGGATGGAAAAGTGGGTATTTAGTAGGGAGTGTGTTAAATAGAAGTCATGCTTGGAGTTGGTCTTAAGAGTGTTAGCACTCTATCGCCTCCCCAACATGTATACACAAAATAAGAATAAATTCTCCTATCCCTAATCTTCTTCCCACTCTTATCCCCAGCTTAACATTTCAAGCACCAGATACCACTCCCTCAAACAAGTTACAATAGTTTTTTGGTTCTCTTGCTTGCAAGGTTTGGGGTTTAACAATTAGATATGAAACCAGTTGAACAAATTTGGTCTTACCTAGTCTACCGGTTCACTATTTTAACCAACGGTTCTATAACAATTAACCACGGAATCATAGATAACTAATGTTGGCTTTATTTTTGTTATATCTTTTCAAGTTATGATGTGTGGTGGATTAACGTGAGAGGTGATGAGGATTAAGGGCGAAAGGAGTTGTGAAATTGATAGGGTTGTTTTGACTGAAAGATATGAGAGAATACTTAAAGGGAAAGCACATTGAAAGTTTGATATGGCTGATCATTTGATGGATTCGGGCCCATTAGGTAAATAAGCACCGACAATCCATTGATTTGACCAAGTAGTATAGTGCTCTAGCCCAACTGTTTTAAGTTGGCAAAAACCCATTACATAAATGCATGCGTGGTCTATTTATATTCTCAAGTTGTCTAGAGACTAGAGAGTTAACCCGACTTATTAATTAGGTATATTTTGATTATTTGGGGTTGACTGAAGTAAGGTGCATGCATAGACATGGGATTTTTCAGTAGCTAACTGAAATGTTTGCTTAGCCAACTATAGCTTGCAAATCTTGAATTCGAAAATAATAAGGTATTAATTGGTGACCAACCGTAAAACAATATACAACTCATCAAGTTGAAACAGTTCAATTGGTAGAAAAAACATCTCAATATCACATATCTTTCGGGGGATAGACAATAAACTTTTTCAAAAAAAAAAAGAGATGCTCTCGCCTCTCTCTTCGGCTTTTGGCGAAAGTGCGGGAAATCCGGATCACCCTTGCATCGATGATTATGGCTACGTGCATTAGCAACCAACGGCCAACCCGCAACTCGGGTTATCTTTGGGCGTCTGAAAACAGATCGCCGTCTTCCGGGCTCCCAGGCGGCGGGCTTGGCAAGAATGTCGTCTTTGCTTTGCATCCACGCAGACAATGCGGATCCTCTGTGATGCATGGTCATTGAGCCCTAAACAATCAAGAATGCCACTCCAAAATGAGGAGTGGTAAACAAAAATTGGAACCCCACCCGACTCTGCTCGGTGGTTCTATCTAGCGGAAACGTTAAGCTTCCGTCTTCAATGGAGATGGATACTGATGAGGGTGAGGTTCTGGTATTTCCCCCTGTGGCTACGCTGGATGAACCCTTGAGCCCTCAATCTAGGATGGATGAAAAATCTCCACCTACGAATGGTCGCTCCGATAGAGACGAGAAACCCCGAATTGGGGAGGTGACCTTGTCACTCAGTGACCGGATACGGATCGCCGGCGAGACCCTGAGCTATTTGTCGGGTTCAAGG